CAGGCGGGCTGCTGGGCCCGGGCGCGCGCGGCATGTTCCGCGGCTTGGCGAGTGGAGGAGGCTCGAGCCGAGGAATTCAAAAAATTCAAGTCGTTAAATTTACAAACTGCACATACATTTATTTAAGATACAAATCTATAGAAATATATTTTTAAATTGAAACATATGTAGTGGTTTTTATTAATCCCTGGCTTCATCGTCCAGCAGCATCGCGCGCAGCAGCCCTGGGAGACAGGCACTGTACGTCACCATTTCACAGGTGCTCACTTGGGCCCAGGCTTTGAGCGGATCGTCAGAATTCCAGGAAGAGATGGAGCCTGGAGGTCCGAGGGGGAGGCTGAGAACAGCACACGGCTGTCCGCCAGGGGAGCCAGGACCTGGCTCTGTGGGACTCCAAGGACGTTGTCAAGGCGTTGGGGGGCCAGGGATTGGGAGAGGCCGCTTCTCTGGGGTCCTGACGCCTCTGAGTTGTGTAATACGTGTGTGAATATGCCGCTGCTGTAGACAGCAGGAAGGCACAGCAGAGCAAAGCGACTTGAAACGACAGAAAGCCTGTGCACACAGAGCAGTGACGATCTGACAGCTCGCAGCCAGCAGAAGGGTGGGAAGGCTCTCTGGATGCCAGGGAGATGCCAGCGGCCCCATCTCCCTGCAGTTTAGCCTTGCTGTCTGCTCGCCTGCCCACGGACCCCTTACCAGGGGGCTGGGTGACCTTCCTTCAAAGGCCGGAAACCCCAGAGGATTTCTGTCATCACACCAGGCACCCTGCCACTGGGGTACGGGGATTTGGCAGTGACCCCGGGGCCCTACCTAATATGTGGGCTGAAATATCAGAGGAAATGATAAAATACATTTTAATTATATCTTAAAGCTTTTGGATTAGCTTTAATGAAGAAAGCCATCTGCATCCCAGTGGGGCAGGATTTGGGGTTTTACCTGTTTCTTCCTGCCCTGTCATCTGTGGCTTAATTGTCCCTTCATTTAACATTCATTGAGTGCCTCCCGTGGCCCAGACCCAGGAGCAAGCACGGAAACAAACGGAAACCACCTTTGGGAAGATCAAGTACACATGCCACCAAGTGCCTACTCTAGGTGCCCACTGAGCCCAGGAAGGCAGGAAAGAAGCCCCTCAAAGCTGCCCACAGCCAGGTTGCAGGCCCAGGGTCCTGCCGGGGCTGTAACTTGCATTTGATCTTCCCCGGCCTTCACATGTCGGTGGTTAGCTGTAAAAATAACTTGGGAGATCCTAGTAGCTTCTGAAGGGCTTTTCTGGACATCTGTGCTGCTATTTCCCCTGCCTTCCAAGGATTCTTGGTGGGTGTCAGCTCGCTAAATTCACTGGGAAGGCTACAGGGACTCGCCATTGTCTGACAAGACATCTCTGCCCACTGATATAGAGGTTATAGAGAATAGAAATGCATGAAATACCCTAAAAGGAAGAAATAAACTTAAGAAACCCTGTGCTCCATCGAAGAATTAGGTAAGCATGGCATGTGTCACTGACTAAATTAAACATACGGAGTTTCAGTTGAGACTAGGAAAAGTTGAAGCAAGGGTTAAGGGTTGGCTGGACTTGGGATTTGAAGCAGCTTCCTCAGGTCAGCCCCACCCCCCACCTCCATCCCAACCCCCACACCCGCACCGGAGAGGGCCAAGCAGGTGTGTTTAGCTACCTCTCACTCCAACCCCCCAGCCCTTCGGCCTCAAATTACTTTACATATGTAGCTTCTGAAAATGGTTTTATTTAAACAAGGAATTCTGGGGCTAAACACAAAAGCTGAAAAACACTGACATCATGAAAGTGCAGAAAATTTGATTATTTTAAACTTGATGAGGATTTTGTGTCCCGGATCTGAAAGAGACTCTAAAATATAATATTATAGATTTAGTTACTTCAGAGAGGAGATGAATTCTTCCAAGTAATCCACTTAATTTCGCAGTTGTGGAGATGGTTAAAAGTCCTCATACTGGGTGGGAAATGATTTCTTCTGTTAAATTTATAGACGAGACTTGATACTTTCTCTTGAAAAAATAAGGGGCTCATTCAATTCTAAGATAAGCCTTTAGTGTTTGGAACTCAGAAATTCCTTTATGGCCAGACAAAAAAAAAAAAAGGCATTTCATTTAGGGGAAAGGGTTTTTAATTAAATTCTGAAATTGTTATGTGATTATTACCTACTAATGTGAGTTAATCTTTTAGGTAAAATGAACACCCAAGTATGTTTGTATGCACTCTATACTTGTTCCAAGACTCTGAAGAGCAGGCATAGATTTGGGCAAGAAAAATATGTCTATCTCTTCTCAACATGTCTAATGTTTAAATTAAATATACTGGAGATTCGTGTGATTTGGTCTGGATATTAACTTGATTGGTTTTTTTTAGCAGAACTCTAAAATATTCGAAGTTTTTTTTTTCTAAACTTATTTCAAAATGGATCATGAACCTTGAGCTTGGTAAGGCATCGATTATGTCCCAATCAGCAAAGGAAGAATAGGCATTTTAGTGAGACATTTCTTATTAAACTGTTCAGGGGGCGACAACGCCAAACAACTCACAGCCTTCGCTTTTTGACAAAATTCATGTGACTTTCAGTGACGATGGTCAATACAAAATAACAGATAAAAACTTTATCTTAGATTTTAGAATTTGCATAAATAATTCACCTGTAGAAAGTTTGATCACGGAACCATGTGGTTCTTGGATCATACTTTCGGTAGAAACATGGCAAATGTCACATTTGATAACCTGTTTAATTTTCTTAATTGAATTTAGCTGAAATCCAATCAATTTCAATCCTTGGAGGGCATAACTTCAGTATTTGTGTATCTTGAAAATAAAGAACTGATTGAATGTAGTCCTTTAAGTCCTTTGTATACTTATTCAACTATACTGATTCTAAAAGGGAACAGTTTATCCTTATTAAATAATCATTATTTAAATGAAATCACTAGGGAGAGTAGAAATTTTCATCGGTACATTTTATCATTAAAATTCAACTTTCCATTCCCCGAGTTAATTAATAGACAGTGGCGATGTTCCTATCTATTTTGAGGACTTGGCTATTATTTTGTACAGAGAAGCAGTAAGTTTCACTCATGTGGTAGTGGTGGGAGGAACGGCGAGGACCCCAAGAAAAAGTCGGGGCGCGAATGCTATTTTCTCAGAGAGCAAGCGTTTGCTTGTAATGATCTCTTTCACTCAACTCCTCCTCTGACTTAAATGGCTTCTTTACAGGTCCCAACGCCAGAGACAAACACAGACAGGGAGCCACCCTCCTCCCCCGACTTAACAGATAGCCTCCTCCCAGAGTTCCTATGGAAGAGGGGGCCTCAGTTTAAAACGGGGCTAGCTTGGCACCCACCACCAAGGCACCCAGCCACATCCACTCGACCTGTGTTAGGTGAGCTGGGTCATCGTCCCTGTGTTACTGGGCTGGCTGGCCAGCCAGCGAGCTGTCTGCTTTCAGCCAGGTCCAGAATTTACGCGGAATGTCCGTGGGGCGGGCAGAGCTGCAAATCAGAG